CCAAGGTTACAGATATCTAAGCCCAACCGATCGTTGATAACCGTTAACTGTATCACAGGCCTAATTTTCAAAATCGTTGTCCGTGGGATTCGAACTCTAGACCTGCCGCTTGGGGGTGTAGCAACCCCACCACTTCACTAGGTCGCCACACCCTTTTACTTTGCTTTATTTAATTGGAAGGATAATAAATTACGAATTAAACTATTAACCAATCCTAATATTAAAAAATAATTTTGCATAATAGCAAATTTGGCAGAGTCATCTTGGCATCAATCTACACTTCCATAATGTTCTAAATAATATCACAAGATATATTGTTTGGATGTTCTAATAATTTAGATAACATTGCTAATCATGTATAATGTTATAATGCACTTTACAACATGGTTAAAAATCCATGTTGTGAGCAAATGTATCATATATTTAATTTATTTAATATATTACATGTATCAGGAATCTTTAATTATAAATTGAATGTATTTTTATGAATAAAAATTAATCTTTATCTGTCAATAGAATCTAATCATGAATAGATGTTTCTTTAATTTAATCTTGGCTATTTTTTTTCATCAATCTTTTTATTTTGACTATCAATGCCAGACACAGATTGATACATTTTAAACATTATGAACAACTATCATATCATGAACAACTACCACATTATAAACAACTACCACATCATAAACAACTACCACATCATAAACAACTATCAAAAAAAACTTGTACTGTAAATAGCCCTAAAACAAAACCAGCTACGACTATGATTTCCACAACTACACCAACACCTATACCACCATCTTGCATTGCTCTAGGCCAAATATGTCTAGGTGATAGAAGTTTTCTATATTGTGCGAGTACACTCTGTATACCTGCTAGCTCAGTCTTCTGATACTTATAATATCAAATATATATTAAATATTAGTGATAGATAATTTTTTGGCATATTCTTATGCTGTATATTATTTTATTACACTATACTTTTTTTTTAATCAATATGTAATAATAGAAGAACTAATATTACTATATTTTTCAAATTACTGCAACCACCTAATGATTATATATAAGTGTCTAAATTACTAGAAAATCATAATATTTTCAACAATTCTAAGCAAGAGGATATCAACTAAGCTACACCTTCAATTGTTAATACCCACTTTTTTGTTTAAATTATAACTTACTTTAACTGTATCAAAAACCAATCTCATATTTTCTTACAAACCATCAAATATTACAAAGAAACTGCTTATTCTGAAGCAAATAAAATAATAAAAGAAAAATTCAATATTAATTTTCAACCTATTACTAATCTAGAATCTTTATTTCTAAATTATTCTTTTTTATAAACTTGTTTTTTTACAAATAATATAAATGTAGCTACCATCTTATTAAAAGATATACCCATTGTAGTTAATAAGAAAAATAATATAAGTAAGCAGGTAAATAAACCTATTTACTCAGAAAAGATAAACATACACAGTTCTCTAATATATAACCAGAGTACTGCTACTTTTTATAAAACTATAAAAGCTGGGTATATGGTAAGCACCCTTGTAAAAGACAAATCTAAAGTGTTACTTTCAATATCTTTAGACTTCTGTAATCTCTTAACCTGTTTTAACAAATTTTTTAAATATCACAAACTTCTATTCCTTTTATTTTCTCAAACAATTAACTTTTTTCTTCTTCATCTAATCAAACACAGTTTTTGAAACAATCTACAAAATAAACTTATAATCTTTATCAAATTTAACTATAGTGAAGCTTATATTTATATTTTACAAAAACCTTGCTCTCTTCTTAACCACATTGTTATATTTTACCAAAACACCATTTTTGCAAACCCTCATACTTTTATAAAATCATATATACTACACTCTTCTCTACTTACATCCTTTAAATTTTCCACTAACTCTTCTAATATTCTTTACTTCTCTCTAAACCTCTTCATATGTATATATAATATTCAAAACTTTAATCAAAACCTCAAATAGCAAGTATGAAAATACTACTATCTATCTAATAATTTAGATATTATTTGCCTTACTAAAACCAAATTAGCTTGCAACAACTTTACCTTCAAATATCTTATTACTTCTTACTATATCTATTTCTGGTCTTGTATAGAAAACTCCAAAGCTAGTATTGCAATCATAATACACAACTCTTTAACTTCTCACATTTACAACATTGCTATCTTTTCAGGCTATGCTATTTTCATTGATCTGTTCTTCAAACATGACTTCAAATTTTGTATTATCTTTATCTACCTTCTTTGTAACAATACTTCTATTAGACTTGAAACTCAAAACATTATTATTAAATAGATACAAGATACTTATACTCTTAATCTGCTTTCTATTATACTTGGAGATTTTAATACTTCAACCAACAATATTCACTTCTCATCTATCAAATATAAACTTCTCTAATTTTTTATTTACAACAACATGTATAACCTTGCCTTAAATACTGTCTTATTTTCTTCTACCTGGCAAAATACCAGATCTTGCAGTGAAATCGACTTTATCCATACTTATTACACTATTCTAATCTACTTTATATTTTTTAATATTAATAATAGTTTTTTTAGTGATTATAAAATTCTCACTGTTTATTGGTCTTTCCTCTATACTCTATATGATTAACAAAAATACAAAACACATATATGCAAAAGAGTCTTTAACTACAAAATAAAAAATAGTTCTAAATAGGAGAACTTTACTAATTAAATCAATACCAATCTTCTCTCTAATTATAATCCTCTCTTTATAGATACTACAAAATCTCTCAAAACCACTTGGCACAAAATCCATACTAGCACTATTACTACTGCATTATAGCATATCCCCAACAAAAAATTTATAGTCTGAAACTTTCAATACACATTCTTCTCTAAGGCTACTCTCTTATACTTCAATCTCAAAAATCTTAGCAATATAATTAAACATACAAAACAAGCTCTTAAGCACTCTTTTCCTATTCCTTTTTATCTAAATTTTTCTATTACTTTATTTAATTAATCCTCTAACTTAAACATTCCTCTCTTACCATATTTACATCAATTTCTTATCCTCTAAATTACTAATGCCAACACAGAGTGAAAAAAACTTTTTTATATTCACAATCTAAAGAATATTAAAAAAATCTAACAACAAATATCAAACTTTATTAATAAAGATGTTTCAAACTACAAAATAATCTCATCTCAATAATAAATAGTATTTTTAACTAATACAAAGACCCTGTTAAGTTCAACAATATATAGCTAGACAATAATATTATTACTAACTCTCTTACTATCAAATTTTATATTTAACAATACTTTAATAATTGGACTGCTTCTTATTATATTAACTCCAACTTTTTCAATTCCTAATAGCGATCTGAATACAATTCCAAAACCAACATCAACTCTATCTAGTATTTTAATATTTTCTTAGCTTTTACTAAAAAAGAAATTACTTTTACAATTTGTTAATTTTCTAATAACAAAGCTTGTAGCTCATCAGGTATTAGCTATAAAATATTTAAACATGCAGATTCTATATTTATTACTTCAATAACTGCACTATTTAACCACTGTTTTTTTTCTCAAACTATACCCAAACAATGAAAAGAAGGCTGCATCTTTTCTATCTCTAAAAAATCTATTTTTGATAGCAATCTTTCTAATACTAGATCTATTAGCTTGATCAAACATATCAAAAAGCTATATACCAAACTTCTTACCAACTATCTTAATCTCACCTTTTTCTAACATAATATCTTGTCATCCTTCAACTTTGTTACACTTTCTGGCAATTCAATTTCTATCTTCATTCATATTTTTAACAATATCATTAAAGATACCAACTGCAATTCTAACTAACTTTGGCTTCTTTCTCAAAATATAAGCAAGATCTATAATTTTGTTAACTTTGAACTCTTTCAAAAATCACTACACTATATTCAAATATTCTAACAACTTATCAATATTTTAACTAATCTACTATTTAACTATACTAATCATATTATTACTAACATTAGGCTTACTAACTTTTACTCTGTTAAAAATAGTATTAATCAAGAAAAAACAATTATATTTTTGGGCTATATACTCTAACTCCAATCTTCTTTTTAATCTATTATAAAACTCATTATTATATATTTTAACTACAAGTAAACTTCAAACCTTCATATTTAATATTAACTAGCTACACAACTAAATTATCAATCTTTATAGCCTCTGCATATATCAATACTCAGACAAACCCTCTCTACTCTTTACACTTTCTGGCATTATTCTTCTTAACATTATATACACAATATGTAAATTTACTTCATCAAATCAAATAGCTATTTTACTTACTATTTAATTTCTCTTATACTTTAATAAACTTATATATACAAATATCTAAATTCTTTATTGTAGCTTTAGACCCAACCTCAACCTTCATATTTTTAACTTTCTTTAGTACTCTTATAGCCAATTTTTTTAATAACAAATAACTCAAATACTACTCTACAAATAGTATATACCAAAGTATTATTATAGTACTCCAATTAAATTAAATACTATATATATCTTTTATATATATATTCTTAATCTAACCCAAATCTAGATAAGCTTTAACCACTCTGGTAGGTTTAGGCTATAGATAAGTTTCTAGATTTACTTAATCATATATCTGAGTTCTTATTTTTAGTACTAGACTTAAGTTATAAAACCTTTTCCAATTATGTAAAAAGTTTTTATTAAGTTTAATAAAGATAAAAGCAAAGTTTCTTTTGAAAAATCTACTATAACTCTCTTATTTTATATATCTTCTCATATTTCTCAGATTATATACTCTCTACTTTTTAGCAAACTAGCTTTATTAATTCTTTTTTTAACTACTTTAGTATCTCTATATCTGTTTTTGCTTATATAGATAACACTTTATAAATTGCTTAATCTAAATCACAATTAGAAGAAATTACTAGTATTACTAATAGCTAACTAGTGCTTGGCACAATCAAACAAAAAATTGATAGTTAAATACTTGTTAATACTTGTAATTAAGTCAAATATCAAATAATTGCAAATTAATCAATAGTATATATTTAGCTTTGGTTAATCTGCAATTGTTTAATATCCAATTTAAATATAAGTATTAACAAGTATTTGATTATCAAATTTTTGTATGATTGTACCAAGCACCATAGCTAATATTCAAGTTAGAAGACCAATCCAGATAAACCCATTATCTATTTATCTATATCTAAATTTATCCAGATATCTATTTACTATTAGTATCCAGTTAATCTGACAAATATTTGAATAATTATTCAGATATCAATAGTAAAACAGATATCTGAATAAATTCAAATCTGGATATTCAATAGATAAATAAATAAATAGATAAATAGATAATAAATAGAAACTCTAATTCAAATTAATCTTACTAAATCTATATATACTTATTACTAAACAAAGCTTTGCTAATATAATATTTTTTAACTCTATTTTTTATTTTATTATACCTTAGCAACTCTTTAAATTCTTGGGCTGCTAGTTTACTTTTAACAACAAACAAACTTCACAAATCAAACTTATTCAAGTTGAAGCTATCCAACTTGCCAATATTGCTAATACTAAAAATATAACTGATAAACAAATAACTTATATTATCAATACTATTATTATACTAACTATTAAATATTGACTTTACAATATTGTAATTCTTTTATCTATATGCAACAAGATTCTCAGAAAATATCTTACTATAGCTAAACACAAAGCATATCTTTCTTACTCTACTTCTAACAATACTCTTCTTAACTACAATCTCTATAATATCCACAATATTTAGAATATTCAACTTTAACATTATATTAATAACTTTTTAAACTATATTAACAATTCTTTCA